AATACACACAAATCCTGGGATGTCCCATATTTTCGCATATTCTCTGGGTTTCTGTCTTCCCCTCCACTTCCCATATTTTCGCATATATTTTTTAGGAATCGACGATTCATTGTGTCTGTGGGTTGTGTCCCTCCTGACAATAATGCGGAGGACATGGAGCGCTAGACACAGTACACAAGGGTACCCCTGGTCTTCTACAGGTTCGGCCTACTCGTCACAAAGTCGACTGCCGGGCGCTCGTCGTGAAGGGCTTTCCTGTGACATACGCGTGGAGCTTCGCGGTGCGAAGCTGCAAAATCTCAGGTGCCTGACGGCACGCGGAGACCTCCGGATGCCTCTGGCCCAAGAAGAGCCAAAGATCCCCAAAACGGCATGCAAGCGTCCGTGACGGCAGTCCCGTAGGCGAATCGACCGCCGACGACGCCGCCGATGACAACGACAACAAGGACGACAACGACGATGACAACGACGACGACGCCGCCGCCAACGAGGACGAGGGCGAGGACGTGGACGAGGATGAGAACGCCGACACCGCCGACGACACCGCCGACCACGACGCCGACCCCGACGCCGACGACGACGCCGACGCCGACTTCGACGCCGACGCCCGCGCCGACGACGAGGACGACGCCGACGCCGCTGACGACGACGACGGCGACGGCAACGACGACGGCACCGACGGCGACGACGACGCCGACGACGACGACGACGATGACGACGACGACGCGACGACGACACCGCCGACGACACCGCCGCCGCAGCCTCCGCCGACGCCAACGCCGACACCGACGACGAGAACGACGACGACAACGACAACGACGACCACGATGATGCAGACGACGACGACGCCGACGCCGACGCCTCATCCTCAGCCGACGCTGACGCCGACGCCGACGACGGCTACGACGACACCGCCGACGACACCGCCGAAGACACCGCCGACGACGACGACGCCGACGCCAACGCCGAAGCTGCCGCCACCGACGACGACGACGCCGACGAAGACGACGACGCCGCCGACGACGCCAACGACACTGACGACGAGGACGAGGACGTGGACGAGGTCGAGGACGCCAACGACGACGCCGACGAAGACGCCGCAACCGACGATGTCGACGCTGACGTCGACGCCGACGACGACCGCGACGCTGACGCCGACGCCGACGACGGCTACGACGACACCGCCGACGACACCGCCGAAGACACCGCCGACGACGACCACCGACGACGACGCCGACGACGACGCCGCAACCGAAGATGTCGACGCTGACGCCGACGCCGGCGACGACCGCGACGCTCACGCCGACGCCGTCGACCCCGACGACGGCGACGACGACACCGCCGACGACACCGCCGCGGCCGACGCCGCCGAAGACACCGCCGACGACGACGACGCAGACGACGACACCGAAGCAGATGACGATCACGACGACGACGACGACGACAACAACGACATAGGCAACGACACCACCGCCGACGCCGGCACCGACGCCAACGCCGCCGCCGCCGCCGACGACGACGCCGACGACGACGACGCCGACGACGCCGACGCCTTCGACGACGACGACAACGACGACGCGGACGAGAACGAGGACGAAAACGCCGTTGACGACGCCAACGCCGACGACGACACCGCCGACGACACCGCCGACCACGACGCCGACGCCGACGCCGCCGCCGACGCCGGCACCGACGCCACCGCCGACGCCACCGCCGACGACGACGACGACGACGCCAACGCCGACGCCAACGCGGCCGACGCCGACGACGACGACGAAGCCAACGCCGACTTCGCCGACGACGACGACGCCGACGACGCCGACGACGCCGACGACGACGCCGACGATGGCAACGACGACGGCGACGACGAGGACGCGGAAAAGGACGAGAACGACGACGCCGACGCCGACGCCGACGACACCGCCGACGACACCGCCGACGACACCGCCACCGCCACCGACGCCGACGAAGACGCCGACACCGACGCCTACGACGACGTCGACGTCGACGACGCCGATGCCGACGCCGTCGACGCCGACGACGACGCCGCCGCCGACGCCGACGCCGACGCCGTCTCCGACGCCGACGCCGATGCCGACGCCGTCGTCGACGACGACGACAACCAAGACGACGGCGACGTCACCGCCGGCGACTCCGCCGGAGTCGCCACCGCAGGCGCCGACGACGACGCCGACGCCGACGCCGACGCCGCCGACGACGCCGACGACGACGCCAACGATGACGACAACGACGACAAAGACGACGACGTCGACGGCGACGACGACGACGACGACGACAACACTGACAACACCGCCGACGACATCACAGCAAACGCCGACGCCGACGCCGACGCCGACACTCCCGCCAACGCCGGCGCCGACGACGACAACGACGACGACGACGCCGACGCCGATAACGATGCTCACGCCGACGCCGACGACGATGAGGACGATGAGGACGATGACGACGACGTCGACGACGACGACGACGGCGAAACACCGTCGACGTCGACGCCCACGACGACGCCGACGCCGACGCTGGGGACACCAGCGCCTGCGTCGACGCTGAAAAGGGCGCCGCCGACGACGCCGACGACGACGCCGACGACACCGCCGACGACACCGCCGACGACTCCGCAAGCGACTCCAGCGCTGGCGTCGAGGACGACGCCAATGACGATGACGACGGCGACGCCGCCGACGACGCCGATGTCGACGCCGCCGACGACGACGCCGATGCCGACGCTCACGCCAACGCCGACGCCGGCGCCGACGAAGACGCCGGCGCCGACGAAGCAGACGCCGACGCCGACACCGACGCCAACCACGACGATGACGACGACGCCAACGCAGACGCTGACGATGTCAACGACGAAGACGACGACGACGAAGACGTGGACGAGGACGAAAACGCCGACGCCGACGCCGCCAACGTCGATGCCCACAACACCACTGACGACGACGCCGACGCCGACGCAGATAACGACGACGATGCCGACGCCGACGCCGACGCAGACGACGACGACGCCGCGGACGAAGACGACGACGACGCCAATGCCGACGCCGACGCCGACGACGACAACGACGCCTACACCGAAACCACCGACGACGACGGCGACGACGCCGAAGACGACGCCGACGACGACGCCAACGACGGCACTGTAAACGACGACGACGATTACGACGACGCCGACGACGACGACACAGCCGACGACCACGCCGCAGCCGACGCCGACGCCGACGCCGACCGCGCCGCCGACGCCGCCGAACATCGCAGCCGACGCCGACGCCGACGCCGACCGCGCCGCCGACGCCGCCGACGACGACACCGCCGCTGACGCCGACGGACGCCGACGGCGACGGCGACGACGACGGCCACGGCGATGGCGACGGCGACGACAACGACGACGACGACGACGACAACGACGACGACCTCGGCGCCGCCGCCGCCGCCGCCGCTGACGCCGACGCCGCCGACGACGCCGACCCCGACAACGGTGACGACGACGACGACGACGCCGACGCCGACGACGACGACAACGACGGCGACGGCGACGGCGACGCCAACGCCGCCGACGCCGACGCCGACGCCGACGACAACGACGACGGCGACGGCGACGACGACGGCGAAACGATGGCGACGGCGACGACGACGACGACGACAATGACGACGACGACCTCGGCGCCGCCGCCGCCGCCGCCGCTGACGCCCGCGCCGCCGACGACGCCGACCCCCACAACGGTGACGACACGCCGACGACAGACGCCGACGCCGACGACGACGACAACGACGGCGACGGCGACAACCCCGACGCCGACCCCGCCGCCGCCGAGAACGACGACGACGACGATGACAACGACGAAACCGACGCCGACGCCGCCGACGACAAGGACGACGACAACGCCGCAGACGACGACAACGCCGCCGACGCCAACGACGACGACGCCTACGACGACGCACTGACGACAACGACGACGCTGACAACGACGGCGACGCCGCCGCCAATGACGCCGTCGACGACGCCGACGACGACGCCGCCGACGACGCCGACGCCACCGACGACGACGACGGCGACGATGACGACGACGACGACGCCGACGACGACGCCGACGACGACCTCGCCGACGCTGACGCCAGCGCCAACACCAACGCCGACGACATCGACGCCGACTCCGACGATGACCACGACGATAACGACACCGCCGACGACGACGACGCCGCCGACGCCGACGCCGAGGCCGACGTCGATCACGACGACGACGCCGACGACGACGACGACGCCCGCGACGCCGACGCCGACGCCAACGACAACGACGACGACCGCGACTCCGACGATGACGCCGACGACGTGACGACGACGACAAAGACGACGACGCCGACGCAGACGACGACGACGCCGCCGCCGACTCCGACGCCGCCACCGCCGCCGCCGACGACGACGACGACGAGGCCGACGCCGACACCGACGCCGACGCCGATGCCGACGCCGACGACGACGACGTCATCGACGCCGACGCCGACGCCGACGACGACGACGATGTCGGCGACGACGACGACGACGACGCCGAAGACACAACCACCGACGACGACGCGAAGCCGAAGCCGACGCCTCCGCCGACGACGGCAAAAAAGGCGGCGACGACGCCGCCGACGATGACGACGACGACGACGACGACGGCGACGACGCCGACGCCGACGACGCCGTCGCTGCCGACGACGACGCCGACAAAGACGACGACGACACCGCCGACATCGCCGACGACGACGACGACGACGCCGCCGCCGGCGCCGAAGACGACGACGACGCCGACGCCGACGCCGACGCCGACGCCGACGACGCCGACGCCGACGCCGACGACAACGACGACGACACCACCGACGTTGACGACGACGACGACGACGACGCCGACGCCGACGACGCCGTCGCCGCCGACGACGACGGCGCCGACGACGACGACGACACCGCCAGCGTCGACGACGACGAGGACGACGACGAGGACGACGACGACAACGACGACGACGACATCGAGGACGACGACGACGACGACGACAACGACATCGACGACGACAACGACGACGACCCCTTTTCGGCGCCCCCTGAGCGCCGCGACGAGCCCGGCGACAATGCCGTAGGCCGTCTGGGCGCCGCAGGCCTCCGTGAGGAGGCCGCCGAGCGCTGGGGGGCGCGGGGCCCTCCCCTTCCACCTCCTCACCCCCTTCCTCCCCCCCACTTCCTCCACCTGCCCCTTCTCCTCCTCCTCCTCGACCTCCTCCCCCTCCTCCTCGACCTCCTCCTCCTCCTCCCTCGTCCTCTCGCCTCCTGGGCCTCCCTCCGCCCTTCTCGATCCTCACGATGCTCCCTCCCTCCTCCTCCTCCAGCTGCTCCTCCTCATCCTGCTCCTCCTCCTCCTCCTCATCCTCCTCCTCCCACCTCTTCTTCCTCCGTCCCCCTGGTTGTCCTCCTACTCGTTATCCTCCTCCTAGTTCTCCTCCTCCTCCTCCTCCTCCTCCTCCTACTACTCCATCCAGCATGCGCGGGTCTCTCCAGCCGCCCAACCAAGATGATCGGGAGCCGGCGGACACCTCCACCGCCCCCCGAACTGGGGTGGTCACCCCTCCTCCTCCTCCTCCTCCTCCTCCTCCTCCTCTCCTCCTCCTCCTCTCCCTCCTCACTCCTCCCGTCTCTCCTCCTCCTCCCTTCCCTCCTTTCCTCCCCTCCTCCTCCCCTCCCCTCCTCCTCCTCCTCCTCCTCCTCCTCCTCCTCCTCCTCCTCCTCCTCCTCCTCCTCCCTCCTCCTCCTCCCCCTCCCTCCCTTTCCTCCCCTCCTCCTCCTCCTCCGCCGCCTCCTCCTCCTCCTCCTCCTCACTTCATCTTCTCTCCTCCTCCTCCTCCACCTCCTTTCGGGGGAGGGTTGGCTGAGTGTGTGGGGGGGGGCATCCGCCTCCCACTTTTGCTACGTTTTGGAACATCTCTGGCTCGCTCTGGGCCTGTGAACGCCTCCTGCCCCGAGGTCAGAACTCGAAGCAGACTCAAACTTACCACTCACTGATCCTCCTCCCTCCATCCCCACTCCCTCCTCCATGTTCTTCCCTGCTCCTCCCGGTTCCTCCATGTCCCTACCTGCCCCTAACTGCTGCCTCCTCCTCCTCCTCCTCCTCCTCCTCCTCCTCCTCCTCCACCTGCTCATCTTTCTACTCCTCGCGCTCCGTCCACCTCTTCGTTTGATGTTGACCTCCTCCTCCTGCTTCTCCTCCTGCTTCTCCTCGTGCCTCTCCTCCTCCTCCTCCTCCTCCTCCTCCTCCTCCTCCTCCTCCTCCTCCTCCTCCTCCGCTTCCTCCTCCGCTTCCTCCTCCTCCTCTTCCACCTGCTCATCTTTCTACTCCTCGCGCTCCCTCCACCTCTTCCTTTGATGTTGACCTCCTCCTCCTCCTGCTTCTCCTCCTGCTTCTCCTCGTGCTTCTCCTCCTCCTCCTCCTCCTCCTCCTCCTGCTCCTACTCCTCTCTGCTGCTTCCCTACTCGTCCTCCCCTGCTCCTGCTCCGCCTCCTCTCCCCCCCCACGCACACACACACACACATCCTCCCTCCTTGTCGTTCCCCCTTCTCACTTGCGGTCCTCGCTTCTACACCTCTCCTCCTCCTCGTCCTCCTTTTCGCCCCTCCTCTTTCGTACTCCCCCTCCTCCCTCGTCCTCCGTCCCTTTCTTCATACGTAACTCCTCCCTGTCGCACCCCGCGGCTGGTCGAAAGGGCGAGCCAGGCGTTGCGCCTGAGATTTCTTCACACGTTGTGCAACAGCTTCGCGGATGGAGGGCGGGTGGTTTTCAGGACGTGGCTCTCGCCTTGGCGCCGCGCGCACTCGCCTTAACAGTTGGCAACAGTTTCACGGGTGGAAGGGGGCCGTCGCCTGGAGGAGGCGGAGGAGGAGCAGGAGGAGGAGGAGGAGGAGGAGGAGGAGGAGGAGGAGGAGGAGGAGGGGGAGGGGGAGGGGGAGGGAGGAGGAGGAGGAGGAGGAGGAGGAGGAGGAGGAGGAGGAGGAGGAGGAGGAGGAAGGGAGGAGGAGGAGGAGGAGGTGGCGTTCAGAGTGTGGCTCTCGCCGGAGCGCCGCGCACGTGCGCCCTCAAGAGTTCGCAGCGGCTTCGCGGACGGAGGGCGGGCCGTCTTCGACATGCCGGCTCCCGCCTTCGCTCCCGCGCACAGTCGTCCTTGCAGCTTGCAGCCGTTCCACGGATGGAGGCTGGGGCCCCTGTTTCAAACGCGGCCCTCGCCTCAGCGCCACGCATGTGCGCTGGTTTGGAACCTCTGCAGCAGTGTCGTGTGGTGTCATGGCTGACGTACCAAACATGGCAGGCTGGCACGATGTCGGACTGGCGGGGGGCGACATCTACGCGGATTCGAGGTGTTGAAGATCCAGAAATTGCGGTCCTGCACGATCCAGGATCGTCAAGACGCGGCAGCAACAGCAATCCGCTGTGCTGACGTCCCAGGAATAGTGTTCTGGTACAGCTCAGGATGTTTCAAGCGACTATCTTCCAATGGAGCACTTCCCTCAGTGACATGAATCCTTGTGTGGGGCCTGTGGAGAGGAAACTTGGAGGGAGGGCGCACTGCAATATCGTTGATGAGTCTTGGGTTTACACTGGTCCTAATCCTCCTCCTCCTCCTCCTCCTCGTCCTCCTCCTGCTCCTCCTCTTCCTCCTCGTCCTCCCGCTCCCGCTCCTGCTCCTGCTCCGCCTGCTCCTCCTGCTGCTGCTCCTCCTCCTCCTCATCCGCCCCCCACCTCCCTCCCTCACAATGCTCAACCTCCCCCTCGTCTTCCTCTTCCCCTCCTCCTCCCTCCTCCTCCTACTCCTCCTCCTCCTCCTCCTCCTCTTCCTCCTCCTCCTTCCTCTCCTCCTCCTCCTCCCTCCTCCTCCTCCTTCCTCCTCTCCTCCTCCTCCTCCTTCCTCCTCCCCTCCTCCCTCCTCCTCCTCCTCCTCCTCCTCCTCCTCCTCCTCCTCCTCCTCCTCTCCCTTCCCTCCCTGTCTCCCTTTCCTGGCCACTCCTCCTCCTCCTCCTCCTCCTCCTCCTCCCCTCTTTCTCCTCCTCCTCCTCCTCCTCCTCCTCCTCCTCCTTACATTTCACTCCTCTTCCGCCTCCTCCTCCTCCTCCTCCCCCTCCCCCTCCCCCTCCTACTCCCTCAATGTTCCTTATGCGCTCACTCATCCTGGTCGCACCACCAGGTGTGTCGGTGGGCCGGCTGGGCCTTTCGCGTATGCATTTCGCTGTATGAATATAAAGCTTGAATCTCCCACGAATTCCACCGATGGAGGGCGAATCGTTTTCAAAATGCGGTTCTCGCCCAAGTACCGCGCACATTTGTCAGACAAGTTTCCAACACTCGTATGCGGATGAAGGGCGGCTGCTTAATCAAAATGGGGCTCTAACCTCAGCGCCGCGCGTATTCATTCTCAAAACTTGCAGCAAGTGCACTGCTGGAAAGACTCGCTGTTCCGAACGGGTCTGTTGCTTGAGACTCCACAGGGACTTCTACGACTGGGGGTCTGATGTTGTGCTTCAGCAGTGGCGACGGAGGGCGCCTCGTGCGTATCGGCGCGAGGCTCTCGCTCGACATCTCCTTCTGTCCGACGGCCAAGAATTATGTGTTCATAGCTGTGTGGCAGCTACGCGGGTGGATGGCAGTTCCTTGCCAGATCTTACCTCTCTCTCTATATATATATGTATAGTAATGTGTCATGTGTTTACCTTTAATTGTTTTTAGATGGGGTTATCGCTGGACACTGCCCTCGACGCATGGTTCTACCTCATGCCACTCCGTACACAACTAGACATGTGGAGGGCGCTTCCTCCTCGCCAAGGCGGGCAAGAGCCCATTGGGCCAGGACCGTTTGTAGGGGGGGTGTATGGGGAGGACGCTGGAGACGGGAGGGTCCTTTGCAGCACCATTCACGCATCTTGGGTTTGCTTTGGTTTCTCCTTCGGAGTCCTCGTCGGGAACATGGGTCAAAGGAAGACCAGCACCTCTGACGTCGCATGATTTTTTCTATCATCGCGCAACCACACATGGCATGAACATGCACTGTCGTAGGTCCGCACGGATTTCTTGAATCGGGGCTGGACCCTCCTCCCCGGCGCGCGGAACGCGCCAAGGGCGGCGCCAGAGGCGCCGCCAGGGTGCTCCGACGCCGATCCGAGAAATCCACGCGGACCTCCGAAAGTGTATGTTTCTGTCGTTATCGGTTCCCTGATTTCAATACATTCAGCGCGTATGAGAAGGACGCACGATGAAGATACAAGGGCCTTGGAAGGCCGCGTCGACACTTTTGGAGCGGGGCGCTGCCAGCGAAAGTGGCCCAGGATGGGCCGAAGAGGACGGATGCAGGGGCAACCTTGTAATTTGTCCATCCTATCCTTTCTGTGCGCGCTGACTGTGCGAGACCAATGGGCCCTCTGGGGGACGCACTGACCCTGGTCAGTGCAAACCCGGGTCAATCAGGCTTTGCAGGATCCTGCAAGATCCTGCAGGATCCTGCGCGCTAGCTCGGATTAGTGCCCAGACATCCAGCCGCTCATATTTTTTTTCAGCGCGCGGGCCCTGGAGGTCTGGACCACTTCCCAAAGGCTGGCTTTTCGTTCGAATAGTTGCTGATAGTCCCGAGGCCTTGCGAAGGCCCTCAAGGGCCAAAAACAGCCAAATACTGGCCGCTCCAATTTTTCTGGAGCGTCGGATCTCAGGAAAGATCCGGCGCTCTGGCTGACCCCCGCTTATATTGAGCCCCGTCTCTTACAGTCCAATCATCTCTCCCCAAGAACAGGGTTTGCGTCCTGCGCGGCTCTCTGATGCCCCTGGGGCCCAAAAGCGGCTCCTGGACGCCGAGGTCTGAGGAAACCCAGCATGGGACAAAGCACGACGTGGGCAGTCTGAGAGGTTCCTGCTCCTCCTCCCACTCCTCCTCCACCCCCTCCACCTTTCCTCCTCCCCCTCCTCCTCCTCCCTCCTCCTCCTCCTCTTCCTCCTCCACCTCGGCCCCTCTCTTCCTCATCCTCTTCCTCCTCCCCCTCCCCTCCTCCTCCTCCTCCTCCTCCTCCTCCTCCTCCTCCTCCTCCTCCTCCTCCTCCTCCTCCTCCTCCTCCTCCCCCTCCTCTGCTCCTCCTCTCTCTCCTCCCTCTCCTCACTC